ATTCCACAAGCTCATACTGACTAGGGAATACAGGATTTCAAGTTTCATATTTGTTTTTAAATACTATTTTTCAGTATTTGCTACAAATTTCTATATCAAATACTATGTAAATATATATTATATAAATATTAAGGACCAAATAGAGTACATTTTATAATTTTGGATTTGTGTGTAGATGACAAGACTTTAGTGGTCTATAATTTTAAATCCTAACATTTGATCTGCTCAGAATCTGTCTTGCAAATGTATATTTACATTTTATTTATTCAAATCAGTATCACATGTCAGACTCAGCTCTAAGCTACAGTAATGTTTACAAGCCTGAACAATCACAATAAACAAGCATGTATAGTTCCACCTTAATTTTCATTTGGCAGATTAAACTTTTGTTTTTGTTTCAGGCAAATTATACCTTTTCCAGGTACAGCTGTAAATTTATCCTCTCATCCGTTATGGATGGAAAACATTTGCTACCAAGCTAGTAGCAAGAGTTCTCAGCTGCTATGTACAAGGAAAGCAAGTGTTTATATACCCCGAGCAAATACTTTTTAATGCATGTAATACAGCCATGGCTCAGGGTTGTATCCAAAACAATGTAAGTGGTTTTTACACTATGTTAAAGCCATTTTGGATATCATTTATTAACACTGGCAGTTTAACAAGAATCTGCTTTCTTTTTTTTCTCCCAACCAAACCAGCTATTGTAAATGTTTAGCATGCTATTAATCTGTTGTGCAACCACTCCAATTATCCCCACGGTATTGTCTATAAACAGAGGCATCCCCAAATACAACCTTACCAGATGTTGGACTAATTTGTTTTAACAAACTTTGTTTTTAATCTTTTAACAAAGATTTTATGGAGACTTCATTTTGTTTTTCCTCAGTATTATTAATTTAAAGCCTAAAATATTTGTTAAGTGGAATAAAACAGCACCACTGTGTGCTTAAAATTGCACTCCTATACATTCTAACCAAGGAGGACGTTTTTCCTGATCTGTCATTTCTTTCCAGGTAAACAATTATGGATTCATACCAGAAGTGTGATATGTGGCAATCTGATCATCTCCGACACATTGCTGCCAAGTCTTTTCTTAGGGATTCTAATATGAAAAAGAGTATCCATTGAATAAGCTTCCTGCTATATTGTGTTAAATGGCATTTAATTTTGTTGTACGAGATGCAATTACAATAAAGTATAACTATAATTAAATCTCAAATTCATTTTAGAAATTCCAGATTCAATTTAAAAGTAAATACAATAAGGATTGCTGAAAGCATCCCTTTTTGTCCAAGCTGATTAGCTGGGACTCAGGAGGCAGAGAATAGATGGGGGTGGGGCCAGTCAGAGGTGGTATTTGCCATTTCTCCAAACTACTCAAAATTTCCACTACTGGTTCTCCAGAACTGATCAGAACCAGCTGAATACCACTTCTGGTTTCATTTCAATCAAATGTAAGCAGGATGCAAATGCAATAGCAATGTCATGCAGCCACTAATGTTCCTCTGCAAAGCTTATGATAGTTCATTATCCTTTGCTTTCATGTTTCAGAACAGTATGGTTTACGTATATTATGTAACACACTCAGTGACTGCTTTGTCAATCAATCAGTCCACCAAGGACTGCTTTGATCTATTATTTCAACTACTATTGAATCTTATCTCCAAATTCAACTTAAGGTAAACTGTAGCATTGTAGTATTTTTATTTTTATTAGATTTCTTTATCCCACCTTTATTACTTTATAAGTAACTCAAAGCAGTGAGCATACCTAATATTCCTTCCTTCTATTTTTCCCACAATAATGTTGTGAAGTGAGTTGGACTGAGAAGAAGTGGTCCAAAGCCACCCAGTCGGCTTTGCATGCCCAAAAGTGGGATTAAAATTCAGGCCCCGGGTTTCTAGCTTGGTACCTTAATCAGTAGGCCAAACTAGCTTTTTATTCAATAATGCAACACATTCTCAGCACTCATAACATTTTCTTTGTATATAATGAAGTGCAGATTAGAGTTTAAGGGAGACTGCTCACTGTTGACATAAAAAATTATAGTAGGATTGAAGGGATTTTGTTTCTCTGTCATTAAGTTTCCTTATTAATACTTATATCACATACCTTAAATGAACCAAATAATAGAAGATAGCATTTCCACCTTACTCATTGGCTTGGAAATTTGAAGGTAATGGTAAATGAAGAATCTGATTTGTTAGTACAGGGAATTAAAGTTATTGAATGTTTCTGGAGAAAAAAATGTTTACGAACTATAACAAATCATCAATGTAAATTGATATAAATTGAAAGAGTACGTGGATGATGGTTTTCCTGAAGAATTGTCAAATAGGAATTAAGTTCATACGAAGTGCTCTTCTGTGTTAGATCAAAGGCTATGTTAGTCAGATCACTATAAACAAGGAACAGAGGACAATGAAGTCAGAGCTGATTTCAAAGCCATGCTTTGTCAATGCTATGAAGAAGGAATTAGTACCTGTTAGAAGATGAATCAAATGAATTGTGGTAGCTCTCAACTAAAAATAAAAATCTTGGTGACATGGCTTGAGTCAAGAGCATGCATGAACTGACAATAATGTATTTTACTTTATTGTAAAAATAAATGTTTTTAATATTGTAGCATTAAAAAAAGAATCGCAATGGTATCAGGTTAAAAGTACTCAAACTAGGTAACCCAGTAAGATGATTTGGGAGCCAAGAACGAAGCATTTGGAATATGCAAATTTATTATTTGGTTACTTAAAAAATCCAAAAAGCTTTGTTTGCTTAATACTGTACTGTACTGCTCTAGAATAATAACCCAGTGTAGTAACAATAATAGCAATTTGGCGGTGTAATCTGAAGCATGGGGATCTACCAATTCATGAGACATCATACCTATGCCATTAAGAAACACAGAACTAACTATGGAAATGCTGAAAAAAAAAAGGTTTCTTTTTTTCTGGAAACTATGGGGATGTGTTGATTTCTTCTAACTCTAAGTACTTCCCCTGAGCTTCTCTCTGAAAAACCACAATTTCCTCAGCTTATATTAAAACATTTTCTCTGCAGACTGTCCTTTCTTAACTTCACAGACATTTCTTTGCAATCTTGACATAATGAGCCTAAAAGTAGCTGAATATTCCATTAAAATAATAAATATATTTTACTATAACTTTTACTTTAAAAGTTAGGCATATAGACACTGAGAACACAATAGTTGGAATTATATATAAAATGGCCATACACATACATACATGTGTTTGTGGATATGTATATATACCACTCTTTGATTTAGCTTCTGTTATTCCATTTAACATGATTTAATCACTTTAGTCATCATTTAGAAGAACTGTGTCTATTCTTCATTAGAGATGCACTATCCTTTACATATTTTCATTACTTTCTGGTAATTTATCTCCAATTTGTTTCTTATTCCAACATTTAAATTGTATCAAGAAGTCAATCTTGATTCATTGGTCCCTCGGCTTTTGTTCATGGAAAAAGCAAAAGGTGATAAAATAAAGTATCTTTCAGACCCATCCAACTTAGGCACATCAAGAAGCTTGTAAGAATGGACAGGAAATCAGTGCGGTAACCTTCTTCCACCTGTTGTTCTGTAGCATAGATAGGCTGCTCGATATTCATGAAGTAGCCTATATCCATTAGGCATTATTAATCTGGTTTTCCATTGATTTGTCTAGCCCATCAAAATATATGATCATCACCACAACAGAGGGCAGCAAATTCTGTAATTTAAATATGCACTGAATCCACCACTACAGATTAATGTTGCCTATATACAACCACATTTCCTGGAGTGGAAACCTGTTTAGAATTTTGTAAGTGTTCTTAAGTGTTAGCAAGCTTCAGTAAATGTCAGTGGAAACTCTGTATACAGTCTTGGCCATTTTCCTGATTTACAAACTGTTGTTGTGTCAAGCATCTATATAAACTGCAACTGTACAGAAAGCAGCAGCTATTGGTAGCATATGTGGACAACTTTCTTTTCAAAGTCTGTGGCAAAACAGTAATAGCAATAGCAGTTGGTGATAGGTACACCATTGGAAGATCCAAAGGACCAGTTTAGGGAAAAATATTTATGGAAAAAATTATCTACATCATTGTTAATAATCAACACCAATTTGGTGGTACATAATGAATTAATTGGTAGTAGAAGTCGCAACAGCAACTCAACCTTAATATTACATAATGAGAGAATCTCATTAGAAAATTCTCCAATCCACCAAATTCCTTCTGTCCCCAAAATTTCCCTCCCTTGGGGTAGCTTTGAAAAAAACACAAAGAGAAAAGCAAGTAAAAGAAAACATCCATAACAAAAACCAGATATTCTTCCTTTCTTTCCCCACAAAGATCCTGGCCAACTTCATTTGCTAACTGGGATTTCTGATTGACTTAGAATGGCAATTTATTTTCTGCTATCAAAACAGCTATCCATTTTGCCAATTATATCGTAGGCATACATACTGGGCAGGCGAATTTCTTATTTGGCCATGAATATGTGGAAAATGATAGCAGTTGGTTCAAATTATTTTAAAGGTACTTCAACCTGAACCAAGACTAGTCAGGGTTCTCAAATAAACTTTCTTATCACATTGTCATAATTTATGGAGTAAGCTGTAGCTGTTACAAATCCTATGCATTAGCATATATATGCTTCAGTTGTTCTAGAACAGGGGTGTCAAATGTGTGGTGTCACGGTGGCATCACATGATATATTGCAACTTTTTTCCCCTTCGCTAAACCGGGTGTGGGCATGACCAGGTGTGATGCATCTGGCCCATGGCCCGCAAGTTTGACAGCCTTGCTGTAGCAGTTTGACCAACCCTACTTAAGAACAAAGTTTCAGAATCTTCTGAGTTTAAAGTTGAGTTACACAGAACTGCAGCATCAGATTTCAATGGCTAATGGAGGGAACCAAGCATTACAATAGTGTATTCAAGAAGCTGGTCTCATTTAAATACTTTAATATATTTTTAATATAAAAATATTTAGAAAGCAAGTTACAATTGAAAAATGTGTAACCATTACTTAAGATTGAGGAGCCCACTGTATGTTTCTTTTTAAGATCAGCTATTGCAATCAATTTATAAACTCTGTTCATCCAACACTTTTACAACAAATTTTGAGCTTCCCGTTGGTTGACTGCAGAAAAACTGCTACTTCTTTTTCCTTGAACTACATTAAGGTCAATGAATTTGTGGAAAAGACTTGTGCACACATAGTGTTTCCAATAAATTCAAGATGGCCAGCTTTCCAGCAGTTTGTTGACAATTTGGGCCATGCCAACTATCTTTAATTAATAAGTGGAAAGTTATCATCGCTTTTCCGTCTGTAGAAAGAAGAAATAGTTCATTATTTAAGATCAGCAAAGGGATAAAAAAAATGTTGGAAGAAGGTATGAGAAAAGCTCAAACTTTATGATTTTATCTAAATTATTTAGAGAATACGGCAGATGATGAAAGGTCTCTCCTAGGCCTTCAATTGAAATAGCAGATATTCCATAAGCTGTTTATCTTCACAGTAAATCACATCTATTCAAAATCAGGATCTGCTAACAAAATCATGACTTAAGACGTTGCTCACTTCTACACAGCTGCCCAAATTTGACCTAAAAATAGTCAGCTAACTGAAGTACTAAAAGTTATATAAATTGCAATAATAAAATATGATTGAATTGGAAGCGGTTACTGACAAAGCTTTTACAGGAATGGATGCGGAGAGCCATCTGCCCCAGTTGTTTTAATCTATATTCCTACAATCAGCAATTAGCTTGTCCCATGTCTAATTCTATTACCTGAAACCTTGTTTATTTCATCATCATTATCTAGTCATTTTCCTACATGCTCATATGCTGTCCTCAGAGTGTTTATAAAAGAAATTTTCTTTCTTTAAAGTTGTTAAAATAAAAATATTTTGTTGTCTGTTTCAATCACTTCATACCAAAGAATATCTGCTAATTTCAGATATCTTTGAAGTCTACATTATCCTATTTTTGCCTTGCCTTGCTCTGCTTTTTCTAACTCTCTCCACCAATGGCTTCATTCTCTTCCATTTCAGCTTACTATCTCTTTAGGCCCATTTTCTCAAGCCAAACCTTTTTCTGGCTAGGTTTCTATAGTCCTGCTCTTCTCTTCAACAACATAAAGGCTTGCTGACTTCAGCATTATGATTTCTTCAGCGGGCCAGCTTGCTTCTTCTTTGAATCCTCTCAATGGGCACAAAAACAAGCTTGAACCTCTTTTCTTGTCATAATTGGATTGCACCTATTTGCATTATTCCCAATATAATGACAGATTCTACATATAATCAAGAGCTGCAGTACAGGTTTTATGTAAGATTTGTTCATACTACTTATGCCTAAAATTTAATTCAAGGTGATGTGAGGCTGCTTTCCTTCTAATACTGACCATGATTATGAATGAACTTGAGAATGTAGTTTTTGCTTACTTAATATTTTGAAATAATTGTATGTAGAATTGTTTGTTCAAACTCAGCCAGACTCTAGGATATGGATATGGATATGGATAAATATATATATATATATATTTATTTTCTTAAGTTTTCGCGGGTACTTACATGTAAGGCATTCAGCTTTGTTCGGGTATTTTCCCACGTCATTGTAGTTGTGCTTTAAAGGTGTAGCAACGTTTCAGCAGAATCTCATCTGCCATCATATCTATACATCATATCTATACAGAAGCCTGATGATGGCAGATGAGATTCTGCCGAAACGTTGCTACAACTTTAAAAGCACAACTACAATGACGTGGGAAAATACCCGAACAAAGCTGAATTATCTCTCTCTCTCTCTCTCTCTCATTCAGCTTTGTTCGGGTATTTTCTCAAGTCATTGTAGTTGTGCTTTTAAAGTTGTAGCAACATTTCGGCAGAATCTCATCAGCACAACTACAATGATGTGGGAAAATACCTGAACAAAGCTGAATACCATACATGTAAGTACCCGCAAAAACTTAAGAAAACACACACACACACACACACACATATATGCAAAAAGTATTTGAAATGTCACCATTCTGAAAAAGAGATTCTTGAGTGTTGAAAATTGATATACATGCTGTTTGACATACATCTTAATTTTAAATATTTGAGAATATAATTGTGATGTTTATAGAATTTACAGACAAACTATGCAATTCCCACATCAGAATATAATTAAATCCTGTGCTTTCATTGCTAAACCACAATATGTTTTGTTTGTTATTAGCTTCGTGCATTTTGAAAATCTATCCATTATTATTTAGTTTTATGGGAACCAGGGTGCTAACCATGTTATTTTTTTAAATTCTTTATTAACATTGTACATAAACCCAGTTATGAGAAAGCTGTTACCTCTTTTTAGCTGGCTTCTGATGCCTCTCAATAAACTTATTAAGCAAAGATAGATACTAAACTTCATCACAGAAAATAATTTGTTCCAGAATTAGAACAAACTTTTAATGTTTATAGTATTAATTAATTTGGAAAAACAATCAATGATATAAAATTGTTTTATGCACAGGAAAAATACATAATGGAATCAGTGGAATAAAATACTGACCTCATACAGCAACAGACGTTCATGGATGTCCGCTGTCTTGGGCCATAATTTTCATTGTTGGATTCTTTTAGAAATTCATGAAGATCTGTAACTGGGATCCCAGTTTGTTGGTATTTCTGAAAATAGGTATGTACAGAAAAATCTCTTAGGAAACAGTTTTACTCACGCTAACTTACTCTGTCTGGACTTCCCATTTCTTAACCTATTGTGGGAAAGGGGCATGATTTGTGAGAGGAGTTATCATTTAAGCAGAGATCTGCAGCCTCAAATATATTGGAAGGTTGAAATTAATGTTATTTATGCTGCTCACGAAGAGAGAAAAGTGCTTTTTTGTAAATCTTATCTTCTTACCCAATTCTGTTAGAGTACTTCATCTATTACACAAATATCCGTTCACTTCCTTGATAAGTATCATTCAATTTGCTTTCTGAATTAGTTTGTTCTTCCTGAAAGTGGCACTACAGTGATACAGTTAACTTTCTAAATGTTGTATAAGGATGACTTCTTCTGCTTTTCCCGACATCTTCCAGTTTACTCTTCTACCCACTACAGCAGGGATCTTCAAACTTGGCAGCTTTAAGACTTGTGGACTTCAACTCCCAGAATTCCTCCTCCAGTCATGTTAGCTCAGGAATTCTGGGAGCTGAAGTCCACAAGTCTTGAACTTGCCAAGTTTGAAGACCCTTGCACTGCAGAGAAGCTATTATAGATTTGGTAATAACTTCAAGACTGAAAAATAAGAAACCCTAGGAAAAGGTTTCTAGCTTTCTAGTATGTGATTAACAGGCATATACACGGTACTAAAACATCCTTTAAAACAGGGTCCTCAATTCCTGGTCCATGGCCGTGGCCTGTTGGGACCTGGCCTGCATTAAGTGGTGGGTGAGCACGCACACAAAGCTACATGTTTGCAAGTGGCACACGCACAAACAAAATCATGCTCTCTTCCTCCTACCATTGTCTGTCCATAGAGCTGGAAAGGTTGGAGACTGTTGCTTTAAAAAGGTACTGTATCCATTGACTTTCTATGAATTTTCAAGCTCAAGCATAACGTTTTGTGTCTGAATGTTTCTGTAAGTGAGCTCCAGACCACCTTCAAGAAGATCCCCATAGCCTGAAGTAGTACTCAACCAGAGGTGGTATTCAGCAGGTTCTGACCAGTTCTCCAGAACTGGTAATGGAAATTTTGAGTAGTTCGGAGAACCGGTGAATACCACCTCTGACTGGCCCCACCCCCATCTATTTTCTGCCTCCTAGCCGATTGGCTGGTTCTTCTTTTGTTGCCCTGCACAGGAGAACTGAGCTGGAAAGCAGGTTAGTGGGGTGGGGAGGGAATGGGAATTTTGCAGTATCCTTTCCCTGGAGGGGGGAGGGAATGGAGATTTTACAGTATTCTTTCCCTGCCACGCTCACCAAGCCACGCCCACAGAACCAGTAGTGAAAATTTTTTTAATCCCACCACTGTACTCAACACAGTATATTTTACCTTGATGGTATCATAGGCATCTGTAATGAGGGCAATAAAGAGGCTGAGTATCATATATATGAAGAGGCTAATGAAGGAATACAGGTATAATCGACTGAATAACCAGACGATGGTACTCTTCTGCTGGATCTGAGCAAATGTAGCAAACATGTCGTCACCATTGACTAAAGAAAAGAGACATTCTGCTACCGTGTTCATATCTTCAAACTAAAAGTAGAGAGCACAGAACATAACCAACATCAGAAACAACTATGGTGGCATTTCAGAGTAGTTTTAGTCCAATCTTCTTTTAAAAAAACAACGACTAATAAACAGGGTACAATTCATTATTAAAACCCAGCACTTCAACATTTCAAAGAGTGAGCACAGGACTCACATCTCACATAGAGCATCTTGTTCCAAATTGTATAAATGTGCTACAGTATTCCTCATAGGGTTTTTTTTAAAGCAAATTAAACAAAAATCATAATTTTAAAAGCTGTATTCCATGCTAAGTCTCAATACAGTATCAATACTCTTTAGCTAACAGGTTTCATTGAAAGCACCATTAAGGATTGTTTTGGTGGATAGAAGCTCCATATGAAATGTGGAGGAGACTGGAGTTTCGGGGAATAAAGTAAAATGGATAGGGCTGTCCTGCACTCAGAGAGCAGCATTTACCACAGTGGTGCTTAAAAGTTTGTCACCCCGTTCCTAAGAGGCCTGTAGGGGGCATGCATAAGCACACCAATCATGCCTACTGTCCCTGTCCTATTGTTTTTTATTTTTCTTATAAGTATCTATCTCATGTATTCAAAACTATATTTATTCTTATACCTGTATCTTGTAAGCGATTAACAAATCAAATAAATACTAAAAAAATACTAAATTTGTTGTATTGAATTTTCAATATTTCTGCCCTAGATATGACATAAAATATGCTCTGTTCCTCACACGCCCAAAAGCTAGAAAAACAGTCAAAGCATTATTTTTTTTCTCCCATTTATTTATTGAGGAAATGAGCCAAAGATACAGATTTATGTGTGGCAAAAGTATCTGAACCTCGAGGTTTATTAAATGTCTATAAAGATTCTCAGTAATCCAGGTCGTGATTTCTCACTTAAGATAAATTTGGGGATCAATTGTGGTTGTAAGTTGAGGACTACCTATATTTTAGGATTTACCCTGCCAATTTGTTGGCAGGTTCAACTGAGTTTTTTTCTAGAGCCTTGAACTAGCAAGACAGGAACCTAAGCTCTTTGGTATTATTTAATGTTAGTTTAGGGAAGAAGCTTTCTAACTAGCATTAGGCAATGCTGCCCCCTAGCAATAAACTGGTGTAAGAGAAATCACATTTATCAACTTTCAAGTCACCCATAAACGAAGTCAATAGTTGCATTTAACTCCTTCACCAGTGAAGCCTGGAGTACCACATGGTCTCTTTCTTTAGACATAAAAGATCCTTTAGCAATTCGAACTATGAATTGAACTATGAATAACTCAACTAATGTATAGCACAGAGGACACCCATTTGCCTCTGTTTGGGTACAATAGTCTTTTATAATATTCCTTAATTGTTTATAAAGAATAAATTCCAGATCACCTACATACCTTTTCATGATATGGTCCTAGAACAATCCAGCCACAGAAAGTGTATCCAAGGTATATCATCCCAGCACAACAGCAGAATCTGAGAACTTTAGGTAAAGATGCTTGCATTGTTAAAATGAGTACCTAGAAAATTGGGAGAAAGCCCATCAGATACCATGTGGTGGTGGTGGAGAACCCACTCAGTTTCTGGCACTTTGCTATTTGAGCTTACATTGTAGGTTTGGAAGTAGCCCAAATATCGAATGACTCCAACCCAAACAAATAGTGTGGACGTCCCAAGAAAAATGCTACAAACATCATAGCTTGTAAGATTCTGAAAAAAGAAGAAAAAGGTTAACCACTGAAAGAGGAAGGGCTGCTTCCTCTTCAGATCTCAACCAACGTTTTAGAGGTTAAAATTCTTTCAGCTATCACAAGCCAAAAGTAACTGAAGCCTTAAGGATTACCTTTGCTTTTATTTCCATCTTCATTACAGAGCCAATGATAGTCATCACGTCACTGATAATCACCAGAACATACCATCCATTTATGAATTCTAAACGATCTGCACTGCATACATGGTGTTCGTACTTCTCCAGGAAAAAATTCACAAACCTCTGGTTTAAAGATTAACACAAGAAGAAAAAACTGCTTCAAAACAAGAATGATTTACTAATTAACATCATGCCACTACTATGGTAATGCCACCATGTGATCATCATAGGAACTGCATTAAGATAAGGAATCTGTAGTTTAGCTATTGCTGACCTACAATCCCAGTATCACTTACCACTGATTATCTTATAAGAACGACATTTTGGAAACAATTTCATCCATCTCTACCGTATATACACACACTATAGAAGACAGTTATTGACTAACTTTTAAGATCTCATTCTTTTTAAAATTCTGTTAATTCCTGCTATGCATTGTCAACATTCAGCCTTTGGTTGAGAAACCTTTTAATAACACTCATTTCTGTTCAATAATTTACATATTTGCCACATTCCAAATGAATTTTATTTACAGTTCACAGAACCAGCCAGGGTTCCTAAGGATGTCTCAACCATTAATGTGTGGCATGCACAGCACACAAACAAAATAATCAAACCACCTTATATCACTTTCTGTGAACAAGTCTTGAAATAATATATTTATTCAATTTCCAGTTTTCTTAATCAATTTGACTTGGATGACAGAGCATAGAGAGAAAAAAAGACCAATATTTAAAAGCCCCAAATGGTAATATTATATCAACATGAAATTTCTTTAATTCTTCTAATTAATTAATAATACTTGTTTTATTTTCTATTAGGCCATATCAGAATATAAAATACAGAACGCAAATATGGCCATATGTTAGAAAATAGCATAAAAGATAAGAATAAAAGAAAACGCAAATATTTCTATGTCAACCCTACAATTTAACCCTTTCAGATTCACATATGCAATTCTCAATTATACCATATGTTCAGATAAAGGGATGTATTATGTATAATTTTTGGATTCTGATGCACACAGAATGTATTATTTTAATTTAAGGATCCCAATAGGTCATTTGACTAATGTGGAGTAAAGATATTGATGTGTCTGCTTCCTATACAGTTGAAAATTAAATATGTTCTATGCCCTCTATTTCTGGGATTCTACCTTGTGATTAATTAAAGTGACTTAAATCATACAAATAACATGCCTGAATATAATTGGAAGTTCTAATAATCAGCAGCTGTTAATTGCAAGAACATTTGGAATATGAATTTCCCATCTTTAAAAACATATCCCACTATTAGTTTCAGTCTTAAATTGGACTTCTGATCAAACTATATGACAAATATTTTAAGAACGATTCTTGCTTTCTGTTATTTTGGAAAAAAGAAATGCATGAATAGACATGAGGCATACACTTACTTTTTGCAATTTTAGAGCAAGAATAATAGATCGTGTACAGAGAATCAAGGAAGCAAAACAGCTCACTATAACAAGCCCATCAAAAACCAAGATATATTGTGTGTTCTTCTGAACTACTAAAAGGAATATAAAAACAAATAACTTAAAGACTTAAAAAATACAGGTATTTCCAAGCCAGTCACTACAGAGGTGATAACTTAATTGCAGTAAGTCAATTCCCTTTAAGTATAGTCCTGAAGCATGAAGAAACAGAAAAACCTTCATTGTTCTACAGACCCTTTCAAAATATAATTCTCTAGCCACAGTACTTGTGAAGAATGCTTGCATAATAATTGTCCATATATACATTTTCTGTGTTAAATTGCAATAATAGCTTAGCTTAGTTTTTATGGTTTTGAGCTTCTTTGTTCCGTATTTTATTACATCTTAATATGAAAGGAAAATCTTGATGGCTATTTTAGACATCCATTTCTCTTAGCTGAATTTTAAAAAGTTAAATCCAAGGTAACTTTCATTTCAGAATAATGATATTAAAAGATAAACACTGCTCCTCCACATAGCTAGTTATATAAGTGTATATCTATTTGCTCAAAAAATATGACCCAATCAAATTTTCTGCATTGTTGACAATGCTTAAGCCATCGATGCCACAGTCTCTATACAAAATGGTACTATACCTAAAAAAAAGGAGGCTTCTATTTTCTTACTCAAGTATTCATGATACTTACAAGAGCCAGATATATTCCAGTCTTTACATTCTTGAATGTCAGCGTCAGTATCAAAATATATTTTTATTTTACCACTGTGAGCCATATTGTTAAAAGTAATCTGTCAAAAAAAAAAGTGTTTTTTTTTTTAAATTTATTTACACCCTAGAATGGATATGTACTTTAGAATGATCATATGGAACACTTTTTGGGGGTGTGCATGCCTTTGAGTCATTGTTAACTCCTGGTAATTGCCTGGAGAATTCCAGTGTTTCGGAGTGATTTTCTTGGCTAGATTTCAAAATTGGTTTGCTATTGCCTTCTTTCCAGGGTTAAGAGACAGTGATTGAACCAAGGTCATTCATCAGCTTTATGCTCAAGACAGGACTAGAACATAGTCTTCCAGCTTCTAGGCTGGTGCCTTAACCACTACACCAAACTGGCTTTGTATATAGAGCATCCTATATAAGTTTTTTTTTTAAAAAAGCTACAAGTCTCTAAGTCTATTCATAGGTATCAAAGCAGTAATTCTCCAGAAAGTAGCTTGGCAATGTAGTTTATGCATCTGGTACTATCACTAAAAGGTAGCAATTTACAGTACCTAGTTTGCCTCAACCATTTAAATTTATTTCAATTTCATCCTGAAAACTAAAACATCCAGCAGCTTACTTTATTCAATCCACTGAAGAATAAAGCTGTGTAAGTGCATTATAGAAGCGACTAGAGAAACTGAGCAACCTGATATCTCAGTATGGGAAGCTGCTTAAAACAATAATCACTGCTAATTTTCCCATGACAAATATTTATGGAATATTACATATAGACGCAATATATATCTCCTTTGGTTGGTAAACAAAGATTCTTCATACGTCAGTGTATTGCCCGCTACAGTGTATTAAGCTAATGTACAAGAGATGCATAATACAGGTAGTCCTCAAGTTATGATGGTAATGGAGTCTGTCCATCTTGGCTATAATTTGTGATGGTTGTGAAAAAGGTCAATTATGTGACTGACCTGCTTTTATGAACTTTTTTACAGTGGTTGCTAAGCAAACACAGGGATCACTATGGGTGTGATTCTGCCAAAAACTGGAAGTAAATGCCTGTTTTCAGCAAAAATGTCATAAAATGCAGTCATGTGGTCACGGGATGCTCCAAATGGCTGTAAATGCAGCCCCGTTGCAGAGAACCCAAATTTCATTCATGTGACTGTGGGAGTGGGGCTGACTCTCAGAACTTTCAATCTAGGTTTTAAGTACCCCTATGGTAGATCCATTGAAACTTCAGACAATGATTAAGTGACCGGTCATAAATCTAGGATAACCTGTATTAAGCTAATGTATAAGAGTTGCCAGCATAAAAAGTGATTGAAGAGTAAAATATATTTTCTATGGGTGAAATAATAAAAAATTGCTCACAGTATTTTCAAATTTGTAACAGTCAGGCAGTTCACGAGTATGAATAGTCTGCAGATCAATGCCTTTTAGTTTAAAATAAATTTCAACCTGTATGAGCCTGGAGAAAGAGAAACCATTACAACATTTTCTTTTTTTCTAAGGAAACAGAAACTGGGCTTTAAAAACCGCATGTTACCTATAGAACTCAATGTTGAAAAATGTTGAATTCTTTAAGTCACTTATTTCCTTAGTAGACAGATCCTGAGGTTTCAAATGAATGCATTCTGGAAGAAGGAAGCAAAATATATACTTAAATACCACAAATATATGGCATGGGCTTGAGAAATCAAAAGATGTGATAATTGTAATGACATGGTTTCAAAGTAAGCATAGATTATGCAAAAATCATTATTATCACCATCTTCTGTTTTATACAAGAAACACAGTTCCAAGTTATAATTTTATATTCTGTAAATCCAGTTTGGTATAAGCTGTATCTAAATAACAAAACCAAGAGTAGCAGATAGATGAATAAGCAGGTCATACAGCTTATGTGAAACCTACACAAATAAGCTATCTGGCTACCCACCCAAAACCCCTCTTCCAATCAATCCATCGATATACAGGTAGTCCTTCTTTACCAACCATGATGGATATTGACAACTCAATCATTAAGCAAAGAGTGAAACTGCAACAGTGCTTATGACCTTACTTCAGCTTTCCTATGGTTGCAAAGTTACCTTTTTGGCATTATCCTAACTGTGAGCAGTTGCTAAATGAAGACGACTACTTGTACAGATTGACACAAAGAACCTCAATACAGTCAAAAGGCATAGGCTACACTAGACAACTTCCTTACAATTCAAAGAGTAAAGTGTTCATGACCTACCCATAAACTTTCTGCTCTTTCTTCGGACTGCTATGAGAAATATAAGCTCTCATTTTATCAAAATCTGGAAATTAAAATGATCAGTTCTGGAACAAGGAAAGATCCCAAAACAGGAACAGTCAATGAACATGCCACAAGTAGACTTCTATGTCCACAACTGATCTGGCAAATAGTTAAATCAGAGAGCTGCAAATTTCCTCCTGATTTTCCAAAGAAAACTAATCCAAACAGGTAATATATATTATATCACCAACCTATCTTCACACTCAAGAAAAAGAATAATATAAAAATGTGCCCTCTAACTGCCTAAAGATTTCCCATGCTCACTTTTAAGCAAGCTTGAACTGTGAATTTAACTGTGGTTAAATTTCCTGTTCAGTTCTCAAATAAATTACCCTAGTTCCTCAATTCAGATAAACAGAAATTGGGGGTTAATTTATATTTCCGTATTTCACCAAGGCATAGTATAACAGGAGTGAAAAGGCATTTCTTTCCTGGCAAAAAAGCTTGGTTCACATCCCAGTTTGTTAAGTTAAAAAACAACTGTCCGATGGCACAGATCAAACTAACCAAGCTTTAACGAAAAAGCCAGAGTCAGACTTTCAGATCAGCAATTCAAGCATGGCTTGGAAAGTTAATGTCTGGTTTGTCACCTGCCCACACACATTTTTTTTTTAACATAGAGCCTTTTACCTCTTAATTAGAGACTTTAATGAGAAGCAAAAATAAACTAGGAATTATGAAATCATCACCAGAAACCTAAGTTAGAAACCTAAGAAAAATGCTTCATTTCAAACTGTGTAACAGTTTCCTAAAGCAAATGGTGACATAATACACATAGAACATCATGTCAAAATATGAACTATGTTACAACTTGTGACGTGTTAAACTAGTTTTGTGGCATCCTGAGAGCAAAGCTCTTGCTTTATTTAAAGACAAAGAGGCCTTTGGGCAGCCAAGGCAAATGCTTATATCCTTTGTAACATTCTACTAACACAAGAGAAGATGAGTACTGTATAGGAAAACCTGAAATCAGAAACTAAGTATAAGGTTTGCCCCCAAGTTTTGAAAAACATACAAATATCAAATGGACAGCTGCAGTTACAGTGCTGATTCCAAAGTACCTGTTTCAATAGTACTGTCTATGAGTAAAGTATCATTAGAAGGAAGCATTGTGCTTTTCTTATATTGTTGCTTACATATGTGTAAGCCAGCCATGTGATCTTCATCTTGCTCATAACCGAGTGTGCCCAGTGATATATTCTTCAGCTGTTGGTACTAGATGCAAAAAGAAGAAGAAATACTCTTTTTTGGTAGCCTCAACTAGGATGATAAGACATTCAAAACCACAGAGATTTAAACAAGAAGCTTGAAATTAGCTTTGAAAACATTTCATTTATTGTCAAAATAAACTTGAAGAACCTGTTAATAGAAAGTTATTGTATTAATTGCACTGTTTGGTATTCATTACCTCTTTTGCCCAGTTACACATTTACTTAGAAAGAAATCTGTGAATTTTAAAAACTTCCTTTTGGAAAAGAATACCATGAAGTGTAACAAAAGTATGCCAAGTTTTTAAAGAATTCAATTGTTATTTTCCTGTGACAAAGGAGTTGGACTGTAACTACAGCTTTAGCAAGGGTGACCAAGATCTAGCATATTATCTGAGCAAGCACATTAATTTACAATTTTCACTTCTAAAGAAGTAGGTGTTGGGTTAGATTTTTAGGACATACTAAAGGCATAATCCCAGAGATTTTATATCTCTGCACTGAATCTCAGATTCAGGTTGGGATTCAGTAGAAACATGAAGTTGGACAGGCTTTAAATCAAATAAATCCTACATTCTCAGTTCTCACATTCAGTTGTCCCTTGGATTAACCATATTAGTGTTTCTATTTCTAGTCAGATTCATGCACATTTTTCACTCATATACTCAGATACCAAAGGTAGACATTTACCTGAGTAATCGCAAAAAAGATGCTATCATAGACATCTTGCTGTGTGTAGACACTGCAACTGTAGTCATCCTCATCAACCCCAGAGTAGTTTTTCAGAAACAGGTGCTTAAAAGCTATAGTATTCTCCTCTTTAAAAGAAACCACCAACTGGTTACTCAAACCAAAAAGGATGAGCTTTCAGAGAAAAAAAAAGAGAGGAAGAGGTGAATTGTTTTATGTAACACATCCTAAATCAGGGGGCAGGTACTTCTTGATATGAGCCCCCTAGCTTGCTAAATCATGGTTTAATAAGGCAATGTGTAAGTCCCCAACATTCCATTTGCGTGTTCCAAAGAACTTTGCAGAACAGGCTACACTGAACATTTTGAACCTTTTTGTTGTTGTTGAGAGATTACAAGTGTCCAAAATCTAAATATTTAAGTGGCAAACTTACCATTTTTCAGGGTGCCTTAAGCATTCTGCATTTAAACCCTATCTCCAAAGTCCATCCAAAAATGTTTGATTCCCCTCAATAGGGAAGAAAGACAGAATGCCCCGCCTCCCAGAGTTTGCCAGCCCCTAATTCAGCAGATGGAAAGATACAAATTTCTCCTCCATCATTGTAATCCTCATCTTCTTATATGTGACTTGTTTCCAATGTATTATTCTGGTTAGGGAAATCCCTTTAAACCAGGTTTTGAAATGGAATTTAATAAAAAGCTATAATTACTTAAATATGAAATACTTTAAAAACTTTTGATTTTTAACTTTAGCAATGGAGTGTGTTTAAAAACCAACCAACAAATTGAAATTCAGCAATATCTTAAGCATCAGAGATTGTCCTTTCCCCTTTAAACCAGGAGTCACATTTTGATTAAGCTTTTAAATGACTGAAGATTATAAAATCACATGGCAAGGATGTCTGAATCTGGCATATTTTTCAAAGCCTAGATGAAAAACCAATCAGGAGCCAGCTTTCTTGGACTCCTGTGACACAGACCAATTAGAGATTAACTTGCCAGGTTCAAATACCCAGAACTCACTCAAGTCCCTTTCAGTTGTCTGGGAGCTGCTGAGTGGCATGCTACAAAGCAGCTTACTTTGTCTGTGAAGATGCCAGATACAACTAGCAGCAAAGCATACACCATAAAACAAGGCCACAGATATTAATCCTGAAAACTCATCATTACTTGATTTCTTAAATTGTTGTTTCTCACTCCATATTGTATTTAAAAGTATTTTTAATTAAAGTTTCAAAATATGAAGAAAAAAAATAAGAAATACTTTCTTTGTTTTTGGACCCTGATTAGTGAGAAACTACATCCACTTATCTATAAAAAAACCTTTTCAGTTCACCTTCTCATTTATCCTCACCATCCAAATCCAAATAGATGTTCACATGGATGTAGAAAGCAGCCTTCCAAGCCTGTTACCTACAAAATATGTTGGAAGAGCCACTTACTGAACTCTAAGTCAAAATGGCTAAATATATATAGATATAGATATAGACTACCAACTATAGACTGGCATTTCCAAAACATATGGAGGGCACCAGGTTGGGGAAGGCTGTTTAATCATTACCACATCAGATACTTGGTATTTCTAGCCTTACATTGTAATGAGCTCTGTAAGATTTTGGAAGAAAGCCTTTCTAAGCAGGATGCCAAAGATTCTTTTCACATACCTTATTTTAGAGTCAACATGCCAAGCGTATGTAGTATGCCACTGAACAAAAACACCCATTTAATTTCCCAAATAAACTGAAGGACACTCATTAATTTACATTATATGGAGGAGGCATTTCTTTTTCTCAACTTCAGATCCCTTCCAAGTTTTTATAAATGAAAACAAAATGGTTGAGCAGCCTCAGTCTTCACACTCAAGGAATATCAGAAATAAACATTTAGAATAGCAGGTAAATAGTACAGGGGTTGTTCAATACATAGAGAAAACACTTGCCTTTACACACTTTAACCTAGAAACCGAATGAGTTCCCAGGGTGATTGTACAAGTTTATACAATATCTCTGGCATCTACAATATTGTTTGCAAAGTGTAAAGATGTAAATGTAAAGAGGTGGTGCTTTTGCAAGCATTTGACAATGAATCTGTTCAATATTATAAGTAGTCCTCAACTTACGACCACAATTGAGCCCCAAATTTCTGTTGCTAAGTGGATTTTGCCCCATTTGCAAAAGCTGATCACAGGAATCCCGGGATACTGAAACCATCATAGCAATAGCATTTAGACTTACGGTATATACTGCTTCATAGTGCTTTACAGGCCTCTCTAAGCGGTTTACAGAGTCATTATATTGCTCCCAACAACCTGAGTCCTCATTTTACGGAAGGATGGAAGCCTGAATCAACCTTGAGCCGGTGAGTCTCAAACTGCTGAACTGCTGGCAGCTGGCAGTCAACAGAAGTAGCCTGCAGTACTGCATTGTAACCACTGCACCACCATGGCTCTTAACTGGCATAAATATGAACCAGTTGCCAAGCGTCCAAATTTTGATCATGTGACCATGCGGATGTTGCAATGGTTGTAAAATGAAAAACTGTCATAAATAATTTTTTTCAGTGCTGTTGGAACTTTGAATGGTCACTAAGTAAACTGTTGTAAGTTGAAGACTACCTGTATTCAAGATTTTTTCAAGTTGGGACACTACTCCACTTCTCACGCATGAGAGAGAGAAAGAGAGAGAGAGAGAGAGAGAGAGAGAGATGGGGAAAAGAGTGAAAGATGAGTTCAGTCCATTAGAAAATATATTCCAAGTTTTCATGAGTGTTCAGAAGTTAACTGATGTACAAAGATCTAATAACTACACTAATAACAGGTCAGCCCTCCAATTAATTTTTTACAGTGGCCCTTGATTAAAAGAATAATTTCCCTCACCTGAATTAATGGTTAATTTTGTAATTCTTATGACACAAGTTAATACACATGACAGGTCAAGTGGCCCAACGCTTCAGAGTATGACAGTTTATTTATTTTTCTACGCATAATTGATCCAGTTCTCTATATTTAAGCTGAATAAAACTAGAAATAACAAATGTACTAGGAATTCATTCATTTGCCAATTCGCATATGTGAATCCCCAACAAAGTAACAAAAGCATCTTTTAAAATGTTACCTGGGTAGTAACCATAACTATCTTCAGTATCTGAAGCCCCAGTTTCCATGGTATCTGACGTCTAGCTCTGTATTTTTCACATGGATTCATAAAGTAGAATTTTAAATCCTTCTTTAGCAATTCCTCTTCCATTAAATCTGAATCTGCTTGAGCCATCATATTCCTGCCATTCAAAAAACGAAGAAACAAACCCCACAGGTTGATTATTAATTTTTAAATTAAACATTTTGCACACAAACCTCCTACTTTCATTTCAAAAGTTAATGAAACTATCGGAATAAGGGAAGGGAAATTACTCTTTTTTTCAACAAAAGAAGTTTCTTGAATCACCCAGCCATAGCCTGTTTTACATGCACAGTTTAAGCAGCACAGTTCCTGAACGCACTAACCAATGTTAAACATGAAATAAATAAAAAACTGAACTAAGTAAGAGTATTCAGTTACCTAGATCTGTTTGGAAAAAGAATGTCCAGTTCTTAAAGGATTTTCAAGGTTCTTTGCCGTAACTTCAATTTACACATTACATTCCGAGAAGATAGCCTATTGCACTCATTGCCCTTAAACTCTCTCACACGCATACTTCTGCAGGATTCAAAGTCCTGAGCCATGCATTTGGGAATGAAAACTAATCTCTCCCTCCCCGCCTCTTCTTACACTGAAAAATGCATAATATTCTCAATCCTGAAGGAAAGTTCCTCAAAGAAAGAGGGTTTTAGGATTATCCTACTTACAATTCTGTAACAAGTAACTTGGCCCCATGGTGCTGGTAAGGAGAATTCTCACAATAATCTTCCAACATGTCCATGTGAGCAATGGATCGTACAAATAATCTTCGTTTCCTTTAACCTTTTTGCTATATTTGGCCTAGTAACACTGCACAAACAGTAGAGCTGTAAAACATGCCTCCGTTGAAGGAGCAATTGAAGGCAAAGGTCTCTGTGATTGTATATCAGCCACCTATCTCCTGACTAAATGTATTACACCGCAACACTCACTACACTCTTCCAGGAAGCCCAAAACAAATAATTCTGTCTGAATTGCAAATGCCTCAAATGCACCTTGCAGAAACAACATGACCTGGGTGCTCAGATGAGTTGGACGTACAGAGCAATGGACAGCTTCTAAATAGGGTGCACTGGCCACAAGCAAGCTGCATCACTGGAGGCATAAAACCATTTTGAAATTTAGCTCCTGGATCTGTAGCTGTATACAGTCTTAAGAAATGTTTTACATTCTGTGTTGGTCTTGGATCTGGCTGCACGTGTTGCATAAAACACCCACAAAAGCTCAAAAACCAGAGTCGACGTTAGGAGCTGGCAACTTACAACATAGAACATAAAATAATATTTGAATTCTAATGGAATTAGGTCTCTTCTACAGGGCCATGTTCGCTCTTCAGCTAGAGTGAAACTGGTTCCCTGTCCAATCCATGTTTGAGGATGTTGGTCAGCTGAAAGTAAAGTGGATATGTTAAATCTATCAGAGACTAAATAGAGATGTTTTAGTCTTTTTTAAGAAATAGAAGAACAGAAAATTAACTGATTTACAGTTGAATTTTGACAGATAATCTTAAACTCTGGAGGCCATAAAATTGGGCAGAGTGCATGCAACCTATGCAATAGTGAATTCTTGCCTGTGGCTGAACATGATCTGTGAGCACACCAAATTGTGGCTTAGTCAACAAATCTCAGTTAAATATATCCATGATTAAGCATGACCTGAGAACTCAGTCAGCAAATTACTGTGTACTTCTTATTTGGCAAATCCAAGTAAGAAACTGTTTCAGAACTTTCCATTCAAAACCTTTTAGACATGGTGAACAGATCTGAGTTTTAACCTTTGATAGGTATGATGCAGATTTACAGTATCACAACTGCAGTGGCTTTGACTAGTACAAGTTTCCTGTAGCATTTATTTATTTAAACCACATGGCTCCCAGGGGATTAGAACTTAAAACAGAACTAGCATACAATATAAAAAAAAAAACCAAGTACTGGTTAAAAATGGCAATGATAATTAAAATGACATACATCCAGGTTCTAAAAACATTTTATTTTCGATCAATAAAAGCCAAAACAAATAAATCCACCGGGAGGACTGGGTTAACCTCTCAGCCCAAGTACCTGAGGTAACATCCTGGTCTTTTAAGTCTTAAGAAGAGCCAGGAAGGTCAGGGCCATCAGCACCTCTGGGTTGATATTGTTTCATAGGGCAAACATTGCAACAGAGAGCTGATCTCTAGTTCCCACAGAGTGACATTTCCTAATGGAAGAGATATGGAGCATGCCAACTCTGCTGGTTCTGGTGTGGCAAGCCTGTTTTTGCGACATTTTTGGCCTCCTTCTCACACACTGGTTGTATTAATGCTCACTTTACGTGGAGCATTTCATAGATGCATACACAACATACTCGTTCCTTTGGGGTTAAGCACTATTTTGCAGACCACAGAACAGGAATAAGAAAACACAGGAAGTTGAAAGGTATGTGATGAGAAGAGAAATTGAAGCATAGCTAAAACTATGTTTATTTTACATGTGCCAGGCCTTAAGTTATAACCAGGGGCAGGATTCCACCGGTATAACAACCGGGTTGGTGATCACATTCACACACTCTGCATTTCAAAAAGGTTTTATACTTACCTTCTTCTGCAGTCCCTGTGAGTAAAATAGCGGAGGCATGGCAAATTGCTTTGCTGCCCAAATCAGCTGTGCTCTCACAAAAGGGAATAAAGCATAGGGAAGAAGAGCTGGGACGGGCCCACATGCACGTCACAGCGAATTGGTTCACTGCCAGCTGATCTTTGGAGCAAGGAGTTCGTCCAAACCAATAGAATCCACCCCTGGTTATAACTATAATTGAACCTGCAATTACGGTCATAAGTCACAGCAGTCATTAAGTGGGTCATAACATGATTGTATCTGGTTTCATTGCCTTTTTTACAGCAGTTGTTAAACAAATGCCACAGTCGTAAAGTAAACCCATTGTTTGCCCTGGCAAATGGCCATAAATGCAGTCACATGACCATTGAGGGGGGTGGCTATCAGAACTCTGAATCCAGGTTGTAAGTACCTTTGTGGGGGATCCACCGTAGCTTCCAACGGTCACTAAGCGACCATTCGTAAGTTGCAGACTACCTACACCCGCATTTATCTATTCCATTTTGAGTTTGCCAACCATCCTGGCTTCTGCTGGATCCATTTTACAGATTGGTCTTTGTTCTTTAACCTTTTCACTCCTCTCTTTTTCACAATCTCATCAACTCCATCCAACCACAACTTTCTCAGCCTCTTTCTTTCAACCCACTTACTGTTATTGGCAATCCAATTCTCATTTATTCTACCTGATCAAAGGTAGAGAAATGTAAGGATAACCTTGATAATTTCATCTTGATTCTGTCTGGTCTAAGAGGTAGCAAAGGGAAATACTAGCAGTTGTTTAAAGATTCAGACAACTATCCTTGCAATGTTAGTTTCCCGACCGGACATGCCCTGAAGGATTGATGTCATATTACCTCAACATACCTTCATATTGATCACTAACTTTCCTATTCAAATTGTACGCATCCAGCTTCCAATGGCTGGAGGGGTGGGGGCGGGCGGAAAAACAAGAGACGCCGTCGGAGACCCGTGAAGCATCCTCGGACGGGAGTGAGGGAAGAGACGCGCCTTGGAGGAGCGGGCTCCGGGAAGCTTTTCCAGCAAAGAGGGGGGCGAAGGGTGCAAAGGCGAGAGGAGGGGGCGCAATGTCCCAAGAGCTGTGCATGGGGGACTTACTTCTGAATAAGCATAAAACATTTTTTTTTACTGGTTTTGGAAAAAACGAAGGAATTTTGAAGACCTACACTTCACAGTTTAACCAGATGTAACCCCCTACTGCCAAGGATCAAAGCCCCACTGAAATCACTAGGCATTGTTCCTGAGTTAAAGATTTCAAACTAATTTATTTACTTTAATAAAAAATTAAACCAGTTAGGAGCCACTTATCAATGGAATTCACAAAGACTCCCTTGTTGAAGTCTGGCTTAAAGATTGCAAAGCAACCTTTCTACCCTGCTGAGAAATATCACAATCTATGCCTGGATTTCTGATAACTAGCCAGTCTTAGGTCATCTAAAGCAACATGCTTTTTTTTTTTTTCAGAATAAACCCTAAAAGTACTGTGCCATTGCCTTTGGGGCTCTTTTGATTTGCTTCCAATGGACCAAAATTGCTGTCAAGTTAAATCTTGACAGAGGCATGTTCTCAGGGTGGCAGCTGCGTCTTAAAGTACAGAGAGCCCTTGACTTACAAAAGTTCATTTGGTGACCGTTCAAAGTTGCAACGGCACTGAAAAAAGTGACTTATGATCGTTTTTTCACACTTGTGACTGTTGCAGCATCCCCCACAGCCAAAATTCGACGCTTGACAGCTGACTCACATTTATAACGGTTGCAATGTCCCAGCGTCCCGCGATCCTCTTTTGCGACCTTCGGATAAGCAAAGCCAATGAGGAAGCCACCATGTTAGTAGTTTAACCACAGCAGTGGCTCACTTAACAATGGTGGCAAGAAAGGTCATAATAAGGAGCACCACTCATTTAACGAATCTCTCTTAGCAACATGTTGGCCTCCACTGAGGTCATAAGTCGAGGACTACCTGAATTGTACAGCCCTCTCCTGAAAACAAAACATGTACCTATTTATCAGACGGCAAACCTCACCACTGACTTTTTAAAAAAAAAACTTGGGTTTTTTTGTTGTGTGTGTGTGAAAAAACCAGGGTTTCTTTTTAGAGGTCATCTGTGAGATTTGCCTTCTGATGAATGGGTGCAAGACTCTTGATCCATGTGAAACTGCAAAAAGCTGCATCTGCTGGGCGGCACGTGCGCCGGTTGCTCCCCTTTCTTCTTTAAATCTTGCACCCACGCACCTAGTCGCCTAAGGATTTTCTATACCCCGGGACGCCAGGGCCCCGAGGCTTGGAAGCCTACCTTGGCCTCCTCCTCCTTTGGCTCTAGGCGCTTCTGTTTACTCTGAGTAGGACACGGGACCCATGAGGAGGAAGAGACCAAAGGAAGCGGAGCAGAAGCTCCACCGGCGCTGCCGTCACGTGAAACTGGAGCCGACACAGCAGCCTGCAAGCAGAAACCCGCCACGGGCCCACGCGGTTTCTCTCTGCGGCGCTCCTCCAGCAAAAGGGGAAATTCAAGATGCTGCCATTTACGCGCCCGGCCCGCCGCGCTGCTGCAATCTTTCCAAAGGCAGCCGGACTCGGACTTTACACCCCGCGGCCCTGCTTTTAAAAGGGACAAAGGCCATACCTGCGCAGGCAGTCGCGGTCAAAAGCAGTAAGCAAGGCTTTAGGATTTGGAGCACTGTTTCTCTCCCCGCCCCCCGCCTCTCCCTTCCCAGATCCGAAGTGGTTCCAACTGTTGCTGCAAGCGGCGCGCCGCGAAGATAACTTTCGCAGCTGCAGGGTGACTGGTGACCCTCTGGCGGGAGCTCCGGCTTCCTCCGCCTCTTAAGGATCCTCCCTAGGAAACGTTGGACTTTGGGTCCGATTTCCCCCCCCCCCCCCCCCCTCCAAACCTATCGAGCGGGGCAACTCCCCCCCCCGTCCCTTGCTATCAAAGCAATGTAGATCGGAACGCGAAAAGTGGAATTTTGCCGGGTTGGTTTTTTTTTTTTTTTTTTGCGCTTTGCTATTGGTCAGCCGGGAAGCGGGAGGAAGGGCGCCGTCCACTAAGAGGTTCCTGGAAGGGCGAGATTGTGTGTGGCGGGAGTGTGGGGTGGAATCCTTTATCGGGATAAAGTTTTCTATTTCAGGTGACACAAATCCTTGGCTGGTTGACCTCGCGTTGATGGGATACCAATTACTCCCCCCCGCCCCCGGCCTCTGAGACAATGAAATGTTTTTGAGTGACCCTGAACGCAGATAAGATAGCCGATCTTCAATGCAGAGTAGCAGTCTA